TAATGTTTTTATGGTTTTGACTCGAAATATCGGTAAATATGTGGAAGAAAGTTGATATTTCTGTGATGTTTTTCTCGGGGTGAACTGATTAGAATCGCGTACGCCTTCGTGGGAATTCGGCAACCATTTAAACACAGAGCTGTCCTTTAAACTAGCTTCCCATGGCGCTGAGAGTTTTTCTCTTTAAACTGACGTTCTCGTCGTTTAAAGCTTTTCTCGCATTTTTCGCAGAAATTCCGGGAAATATTGTATGAAATACGTCGCTCTTTTCGTTCTCGCCACATGTTGCTCCTGGTGCATGCACGTGTAATCTGAGCTGCGCGAGTTTGTCCTGATTGCATTGTCTGCAAAACCCCAGTTAGCATTGATTTCGCGTCAAGTATCTTGTTCGTGAGAAGTGTTTATTTTAGCGCTGCGTTATGGAATTGGAGAATAATTGTGGTTGGAGCTGAAGTCTTAACATGTAATACTTGGCTCCGTCGAAAGGGCGGGAGCCGGGGGATGCGCAGAAATTTGCAATCAATAAGCTCAAACCAAAACAAGAAAGCAACTGGCACCATCCTCATGGCTAAAATTCTTTTAGTGGTCGCTCAACATGCACTGAAATGCACTTTCCAGGGCCTGCAAAATTAATATTTTCTTCTGCTTCCATGTACCCCTCCCCCCACTACAAGAGTGCCTTTTAATCTAATCAACCTACTTTAATTTTTGGATACCCCTGTGGAGTATGTTACATGTATAATACCATAATATATAGATTTAGCCAGGGCTAAAAGCGAAGCTCCAATTAATAAATTTATAATTTAAATCAAACAATAAACTTGTAATCCACAAAACAGTTAACTTAAGGGCACATTTTTTATTATGTCACTTTTTAGGGAAAGCTAAGGCTAAGTGATTTTAGCGTGAAAAAATCTTACATCGAGTTGATAGCCTTATATGTACACCCAAAAAATAGCAATCATCTTCGATCACATTTAAGAGCCATAATGGCTCTTGATCAGAGTAGATTAGACCTGGAAAACGAATTCTTGGAAAACAAATCAGTTTTGTTCGACAAGTTTACTTAACAAAATCTTGCCAACAAATCTGGGTGCATGTAAACCAACATTTCATACTTTTTATACATCACATCTGAAATGAAACAGTAATAGGAGGCGCTGTTTTTATCATAGAAACCTTAGACAAAATGCAGTATTTTTTTCACAATTTTTCAAGAAAAATTGCACTCATTCAATATTCAGAACCATCGAAGCACGCGTGGGCTTTTAGCAAAACCATTCAAAAAATTTCCAAAATCACCTATACGGCCAGCCGGTTCTCACTTTTGACAAGCGCTAAATTTTCAGTGAACATTAAGAGTTATGCTTCAACATAATAAAGAATTTATTGTGTTTATTTTTTATTTAATGGTTTTATAACGATGTGTATTCTTAAGAAGCGCTTGATACGCGAGGCCTTTTGAGTACTCCTGAAGGCGATGTTTATAAACGACTGAAAACAAATGGCAAAGCGATTAAAATTGCAAGAGACTACTAACAATCAATAAAAGAAATATAATTCGGACAAACATTTACAGAGACAACAAAAAAAATCCTGAGTCTTCAAGCTTAAGCTTAAAGCTTTTAGCCGGCTTCCCGGTGTTTACTGTTTCCAAAGATGAACTCGAGGTGAGAAAATCGCTCAAAGCTTTCTTTCTACAGTCAAAATTATTGTAAATACTCTTCGGAACATTTTTTTCCTTATATTTGCGGAGATAAAATGTCGACTAAGGGCTTTTTAAAGTTCAGTAAGCTCATATCAAACCTCATACTAGGTCAGATCATTGTCCTCAGATCTTAATACAAACGTGCATAAACTAGCCTCATAAGCTGCGCTTGACCTCATGAAATTAGATATATATATATTAAAAAAAACAAACACATATACAATAATTACTCAGGCTTACCATTCGAGATGCAGCTCCTGAAAGTATCAAGTAAGGCCAGAGTCACTCGAGGGACTTTTCAACCCGCATCCAGCAAGGTGAAAAACGAAAACGATGTCATCTGAAATCGGATTTCCGACTTTGACAAGCGACGCATTTCTCAACCAAAATTTCAATAAACAAACCAGCCATGAGTAACAGAAGACTGTTGATAGCAGCTGTATTTCATTTTATGCATCTAGTGGAAAAAGACAGTAAAAAACATCACAAGTTGACAAAAAACTCTGTAAGCTTCAGCTGTCAAAGTAAACAAGTTTCAAGATGCTGTATAAATTTTCTGCATGCACTCACCTGTCAAATTTTGACCAATCACAGCAAAAAAATTGGATGTAGAGCGTGACCAACGCGTGACTATGGTGAGAAAAGTGAAAAGCCTCTGTCTTCCCTGCTTGTATTTTTAAATGACTGGCTGAATTTTCACGTCCGAGATCAGTTTGAAATCAAAAGGTCAATAGCGTGGAGCCATAGTGACATTAACACAACACCTTCTGTCATCATGTCATTATTTTGCTGCCATTCTCTTTGCCTTTGTATTTCTCTTTCGCATTGCCTTTGTCTATTCATTCTAGCTCTGTCTCGTTCTGCTTGCCGGCGTTCTTCACTATAATTTTCTCTCCTTCCTCTCACCCTGACTCTTTCTACTTGCCGACTTTCTTCGCTAAAATTGTGTCTTTTTCTTCTACTTCTAACGCGCTCTCTTTGGCGATCGTCTTCGCTTGCTCTACGCGTGTTGACTTTTGCTCTCTGCCGTTCACCTTCTCTTGCTGTCTGCTTAAAACCTGTCGTCTACACGCTAAAATCTCTCTGCTGTTGTTTGTTGACATAATAGCTTTCGTAAGTTGTAATAAAAAGTTATAAAGGCTCTGTGGAAAAATCTTTTTGTTAAGTTGCTTTGAAATTTCATTTTCAAAACCAGTTGCGCGATATAATTGCATGACGTTGCGCAAAAAATCTCTACTTTCCTCTACCCCAACAGTCCATGCGGACTACTTTCCACTACCCGGAAAGTCCATACGGACGGACGTACGCTGACGTCATAACCAAAATTTCTCGGATGGACAGTTTACCAAATTATCTTAGTTATGGTGCTCAGCTCGCGCGATGTACGCTGACATCATAACCAAAATTTCTCGGATGGACAGTTTACCAAATTATCTTAGTTATGGTGCTCGGATCGCGCGCGCTTCGCGCGCAAGGAGCTCCGCTATAACTAGGTAGATAGAGTGCCAACGAGCAAATCATGAGTATTTTGCATAGGAATGGAATTCCTTTTTTCCAACATTTGACAGTGTCTTGGCCCTTTCTTGTTGCAAGGATTATGTTCTTGAAAAGGTGTAAAATGCATGTATAAAGGTTCAGAGAAGAGTCAGTTCTCAGACTTCTGTGGCTGTACAAACCTGCTATATAAAAGTTTGATAAAAGTTTGAAATGTCATGAGGAATCTTTTCAGAAAGAATAAAATCAGCTTTGCAGAGAGAGTGATCAGTAATATTTAGGGAGAACACATAAAGAATGATTGTTTCTTTTACCAGTCCAGCTACAAATTTACTGCCAATTCCGTTTCACTTTGTAGATAAACATTTGTGCCGTTTAACCATTTGAACCTCCTTTGAAATTTCCTGAGGCTCTTTGTTAACGGATTGAAACCTATTAGAATGATTTTCTGTGCTGTTTGACATGTTTTCAAGGACGTGAAGTAATAAACTCAGCCAGGTTTAAAAAAAAATAGATATTGCACTTCAGGTGATCGAAATTGTTGTGCAGTTTCACTGCATAAATTCGGATCGTGAAACTATAGTTTTGTTTTCTCCAACAAAAAAAATGCGTTTTCCTATGTTTGATTACATCGCTCATAAAGATTTTGGTTTGGTTTTCTCCTTATCAATATACATCTGTAAACTGTACATGCTGTATGTTCGCGATGAAACATGATACGCGTGATATTTTTTGTTGTCTAGCACGTGACTGCAACTACAGGTGTATTCGCTAACAAAAGAAGATTGTATTGCACAAGACTTCAATTTTTTAAAAAAGGCTTTTTGAGTTTTCAAAGGTTTGCGGAAGGTTTACATTTAAAATAAAATCAAACCCTTTAAGCAAGAGAATCCAGTCTCATTAAAAGCAAAAGACTTTCGTAGTATATAATTTGTGCTACATTGCGATAAAACCAAAAAACAAGGGTCAAATCTGACGGACATAAGTTGAGTATAAATGTTTATACGGTACTTACCCAATTTATCAAAATTGTAGATGACGAAGGAGCGTTAAACTTTAAAGGCACAGAATGGTGCGAAGAAAATTTACAGGAGACTATCATTGCCATACCAGAAACCCAGCCTGATAATATGAGACTGTAGTGATGGATAAGGGATGGATAATGTCGAGCCACCAGGGAAGAAGATGGCATGGTCCAATTAGGTGATTATCATTATACTTTGTAGGTTATGCATTGATTTGGTGTTAGTATTCTATCATGATTATGCTTACCTTTGAAAGAACTTAATTGCAAATTTTACTCGTGTCCGTTGTTTTGTCACATTCCTAGCGCGTGGCTTAGCTAAATATTATTGCAATTAAGGCTATAGATGTTTCTTTGATTTTCCTTGATTGATGTTTTAGTGTGAGCGTGCATTCTAAATAAGTTAGTTGTTAAATTACGTGTTAATTGTTTCGTGATATCCCTTGTGTGTGCCTTTAATCTTGGATCTAATAAAAAAGACTCTGATTTGGTGTTAGTTTTCTTTCATGCTTACACTTACCTTCGAAATAACTTTGTTGCAAATTGTACGCGTGCCAATTGTTTTGTCATATTCCTAGTGCGTGCCTTAGCTAAATTGCAATAAGGCTGTAAACTTCTTTGATCTCTTTTAAAAGTTAAATCTTTTCCTTAGACATGCAAAATAGACAAAAATTTTTTATTTTATTTTAAAGGTTACAAAAGAATACAGAAAACCCCAAAAACAAATGAGGGAGAAGAAGCAAAAACAAAAGAATGTGCGTGTGTTTAAATAGACCTCCAGATCTCTTTCCTAAGGGGGTTAATTTAAGAAAATAGGTACTTTCCAGTCTACCCTGTATGCGTTGTTTAAAGGGAAACACTTGCTTTCATATCTCAAACCGCCCTTGGAGAGAAAGCCTGGGAATGAAATCCGATCACGCGTATTGACAATTTAAGCTGAACTCCCGATATTCTTAGACTGTTTGTTTTACATGCCAGCTCTATGGTTTGATACCTCCGATTGATTCTTTTTTTTCTGGGAATGTTAAATGTAAAACTGTTAAAGTATTTCAAGTTTGTAGCACCTCAAGTACGGTCCGTAAATCGCTTTTTTATATACTGACTTATTTGGGTGCTTCCCGCTATGGAAACAAGCTGATAGTACCCTTACGTGACTTTGTTTCCATAACTCAAACTGCCTTTCCGTGATCAATTTGGTGCAGAATTCAGATGTCAATAAATTTGGTGGCTATGGGTTTATTCATTTTTCCTGCTCTTTGAGCAATGGCTTGTGATGCAGGAACTGCATCACAATATCTTTCCACCCTGTTCAACAAAAAGGTTTTCCAACACGTTTGGTTATGTGCTGCAATGCCATAAAGTTGATGAAATAGTTAAAGAATGGGAGATAAGGACAAAAATAATCATCCTTCACTCCCTGGATGGTGGAAAAAAACTTTGGGAACATTGTTGTGTTTTTACATATTTATTCTCAGGGTATTTTATTACTATTTAGTTTCGTAGTACTCAATCAGAGTGGCACTCCTCGGATAAAATTGCCAAATGCGACTTTACAAATTAAGGCTGGTTTCTGTGTAAAAATCAAAAGGAGTTTGAAGTTTTTACAAAGGATATGGAAGTATATGAACATTCCAGGGGAAAGCGGGAGTGAAAGGGACAGGTGAAGTAGGGATGCAGGTATATGTTTGTATACAAGTGCCAGCTTGACTACGAGAAGGGAAAGACTGGGTCTTTTTCTCAGGGTAAGGGGGTGACTTTCAAGACCTACGCCCTCCTCCACTGCTTCCCTACATGTTGGGTGCCTTGCTCAGGCACAAAGCAAAGTAGCACTGTCTTAACACATAACATAGGCATTCCTTTCCTACTGCATAAAAGATGAAGGAAAAAAATACAGCCAGTTCAGGGAAAAAAAACAAACAAAAAAAACATTGCGTTTATGTTTACCCAGTTTAATCTCAGTCGCAGAGGCAGGGGGAGGGTCGGGGGGGGAACCCCCCTTTCAGACCTGAAACTTGTTTGGGACTAAACTTCTTACATCGACAGGCCCGTATATTACTTTTTAACTGGCTGAATTTTTTAAATGAAACTGCATGTTGCATTTTGCCACTGAACTAAATTTCAGGGATGTTCAAAAATTTGATTCTTTTTGGGTACCCTCCTGTGACCTCTCCACCTCTGCTTGCAAGCCAGTATTTCCTGTGCTAACGGCGACCAGCTTTTACTCATAATCTTTTTGTTTTCCATCTGCTTTCTGCCTTTTACTTTTACATGTCAACCAAAAACAAGGGAGTTCAAGACCACCATAACATCAAGAGAGCAAAGAGAATGGTACAAGACACAAAGAAGATGGGTTGTCCTGCATAATTAATTGTAAAGGAGATAATGAAATTTCCTCAGTTTCAGGTAACATTAATATTTAATTTATTTCTAAAAACCCTTTATACCTTTGAGTGTAGAAAGAGGTTCAATTGAAAGAAGTGAAAGGGCCATTTTAAAAATCATACAACATGCAGCCCGCTGAAAAAAAATTTATCCTTACATTGTATATCAATGAGATTACAGACATACAGATGCACAGCACAATGTTCAAGTTTTATAGAAATTAATTCCAATTTTTACATTTTGTCCAGATAACCATTGACTCACCCAAACAATGGAGAATTACATCTGAAAAAGTACGAGAACACATGTCAGGGCAGAAAGACTTCACTGGATAATGCCATTTTTACATTAAGCTTCCTGAGGTCAAGGATCACATGTACCACATTACCGGAGAGGTAAACATACAGACCACCCTTTCATCCTCCTTTCCATTAATACGTAGTACAAATATCAATTAGTTACTCTATCCTTATTCTCACCCAGGCTAGTGGTATCAACCAGGCAGTAGACACAAGAGTTATTACCAAAATTCATGATTTGGTGAACAGGGGTGTCACTGATGTTGATGAGATGAGGAGACACTTAAGAGAATTTGTTGGAATTCAGATCTTCCCTGGAAGGGAGATGCCAACTCCAACAAGCTGACAATATTTTCCCACAAAGAAAGATATCTACAATCACATGTACCGTGCAATGGTAAAGAGCAGATTTTCAAACTGCGATCAAACAAATGCAGAGGAAAAAGTCAAGGAGTGGCAAATGCAAACCCCCAATGACAAAGTTTTCTTCCGTAAATTTAGTGACATTTGTGATGCAAAATTTGAGAATGATGTTGTAAGCAGTTCCAGCAACGGAGAGGACCTGGATGATGAGGACATCTGTGTAACATCTCCCCTGTCCTATCAAAAATTCCTCTTTGTCCAGCAAACAACTTGACAGAGAAGGCTGTTGAGCAATGGCAATGACGTCTGCCTCTTGGATGCCATGTATAAGACCACACGATGTGCATTACCACTGTCCTTTTTAGCAGTAAAAACAAATGTTGACTATCAGGTTGTGGCATCATTTGTTCTCCAAGATGAGTCCGCTGATTCCATTAAAGAAGCTTTGCAGGTCATCAAAGAATGGAACCCTGACTGGCGACCATCATTCTTTATGACTGATTTTTGTGGGGAGGAAATCCATGCTGTTGAGGAGACATTTCCAGGTACCACCAAACTCAGTATTTTCCATTTATAATTTGTAATGTATGTGTTCTACATTGAAAGGAAATAGATGTATTACTTTGGTGTTAACTTTGCTTTTTTTTTTTGCCTTTGACACATTATCACAAATCTCAAACAAAGGAAATTTTATAACAAGCAAGTTTGAAGTAATTTTAATCTGAATTTTAATTTCACCTACAACACATACTTTGTTTGTGTGTGTGTACACCTAATAAATAATATGAAAGGTAGGTTAATCCTACAGGCTCTGGTTGTTCAACGGCTCAGTGCAGGATAGATTTATCCAGCAGATAAATCAGCGGGAAAGTAATGGGCAAACCACTTATGCTCTCCAGTGGAGAATAATTAATTTATTCAGTGGGTAGACTGCTATTCCAGCTTTTGAACAACCAGAGCCAAATCTTGACACTTTGCTTTAATATTAAGAAGTCTGTAATGAACCCTAAAGAGGTTTTCTTTCATGTTCATACTTGTGAGCCTCTTTATTAGGGTCATGTTAACAATTACGCACACATAAAAGAGAGCAACAAAAAAAATCATATACTGTCTTCAATGAATGGATAGCTTATATTACACATAGTCATTGTATCTGTTTTGAAGCCAGTATAAAACTGATGCACACATGGTACATGGACAGGTTGCGGTGTTTACCTTTGTGATTTCCATTGTGAGCAAGCCTGGGAGAGGTAGACAGTGAAGAAGGAAAATGATGTCTCTGACAAAAAGGAGGAGGTCCTGTGTCGCCTGAGACGTGTCACTCGAGAGTCTACCGAAGAAAAGTATCACAGTGCTGTTAATGATTTACTGACCTCAGATGTTTGGAAACACAATCCAAAACTATGCCAGTGGTTTGGAAATAAGTGGCTGAAATCAAAAGAGGTAATATTTATTTTAATGATGTCACAAACCATGCTGTTCATCTTACAAGTACTTGTGGATATGGAAGTGAAGGAAAGTAACTGGAGCACAACTTTATTAACAGTAATGCAATCAAACATCTATAACGTGGCCCAGGGTGCAAAGAAAGTAGTGTCCGATAGCCCAGGGCTAGTGGATTTTCCTATCGTGCTAGTGAATTCTGTCTTTAACTTTCCTGACAGGCAAGTGATGTTTTTTGAGGAATTCGAGCAACAGAAGAACTGTGAAATCAATTCTGCTCGTCAAAAAGCTTTTGGGGCTAGTTGAAATGACGTCCGGGCTAGTAAATGCTAGCTTCAGCTTCCCCGAATGGCAAGCTGTAAAAATGATTTTCTTTGCACCCTGATGTGGCCTTCTGGTTTATTCATGCTATTGTCCAATTTTCTCAAATACAGAGGTGGGTGTGCGCATTCTGGAAAGAGGGCTTCAATGTGAGAGTAAACACAAACAACGGAGTTGAACGGCAGAACAAACTGTTTAAATACAGTTACCTGAAAAGCCACAAGAACAACAGCCTGACTGTGATGCTTACAGTTCTTATTGAGGATTTCCTGCCAGACAATTACAGCAGGTTAGTTGATACAATAAGTGTATTCTAAGTACAGCACCATGAATAATATATATGAATAATAATATTATTTTATTTTTTATCTCTCTTTATATCAACCAAAAGTTGTCTGCTTTTGGTCTTCTTTAAATTAAAATATAATATACATTAAATACATATTTGCACAATGGTTGCTAAAGAGAAAAAAATGCTACTACGTTGTCTCTACAATGCTGTTTTGTGAGCTGTTACACTCACTCATCAGGAGACTTAAATGGGAAGAATATTCACCAGCAAGGAATATATTATATATTAGAGTATTCCCTAGGGTATTGCTAGTTGAAATGTAATATAGCGCTTTGTTTCTGTGTGTATATATATATATATTACTATGACTAATCAATATGAGTAGATATGGAGTGTAATACAAATTTGTTTTGTGGAACAACAGAGTTGGTCCACTCATCAAAGTACCCTATTTGCAGGGTAACGTTTAAAATAACTACTCACCTCAGTGACACTGAAGACGAAGTGTTTAAAACCTCAGTAAATCCTTATAAACCTCAGCTCATAGTGTTGCTTTTTGCGGTAAAAGACTGAAAGCTCGTGTATCTCCTCTTATGTATACATTATCGTTATGGATACACGAAGAAGCTGTGGCGGTCCGCTGACCTGGAAACCTCATCCAATAAGCTTTGATCGTAATTTACCCTCTTCCTATTCGGTCGTGCAGTATAATTCTTTAATGTTGATGATTTAATTAAGGTTTACAACGTTTACAATTAACGTAAATTTTATTTGTTGCAAAAAAGGTAAGGACAAAACTGTGTTTTTTACCGAAAATTTCTGGAGTTGAAGTGGCTCCCTGTTTGTTACCAAAAATTTCTGGCGTCAAAGTGACTCCCTCCGTAACCTCTGTGGAGTCATCTGAACAATTTTGGCATAAAATACGCCAAATTTGGCGTATTTGCGAACCCTGTATTTGATTCAATCAACCATCAAACAAAACTGACATGAAAGGAACATTTAAAAGTTACCAGTAGTGATCAGATTCCTACATGTATACGTTTCAGATATGTAGAGAAGAATGTGAGGTTCAGCTCCTTGTATCAAAAGTACAACCAAAATATTCCCCAGTTCCTGGTGAACAGGCTGAGACATCTAGTTGTGCATTGCATGGAAAGATGGGAGGTTGCAAAGAACATACCAAAAAGCCACATCACAATAATAGATGATGTAACTGGTGAGTTCAAAGTGAAGAGTCAGTTGGAGCAAACTGCAAGGTACAACCTCCAGTTTGGAGATCCCTCCAGCATGCCAAAGTGTGAGTGCCCTGACTGGTTGCAAACATTCTTGCCTTGCAAGCACTTCCTTGCCATTTTCCACCATCTTCCTACCTGGCAATGGGACAGTTTGCCAACCAGTTACAGAGAATCACCACTATTGCTCCTGGATAATGATGTTATGGAGGAAAGACCCCATGCAGCAGTTACACAGGCAAATGACAACAACCATGAAGATGAAAATTGCAACAATCAGGATATGGATCAGTTAGCTGAATCATCAACAGAGGAGCATGTTCTCCCCCTGCAACAGCCAGGCAAGCAGCCAAGAAATCAGGCTACTAAGTGTAGCTACGTAATCTAAGCTTTCTTGTACATGACCCTGAAGCTCTTGCATTGCTACTATTGCTGCTATTGTGGTTGTGGTTGTCGTTTAAATTTTTTCATTCCAGTTTAATTTTGGTCTTCTTTTGTCTGTGATCATGGTTATTTTGATTTGAGACAAAGAAAAGTAAAAACTATACTGGTCTGAAAAAATTTAAACCAAAATAACATGTCACCACTATTTCCATAAACATGGGCTAAATTGCAGAATACCCGGCCACTTTAAAACCTATACATTTTCCAGTTTACAGCAATAAATATTCATCTAAATCCTGCTTTAGCGTATTCCTTACCTGCATAAGAATATGCAAACTTCTCTTTTGTGGGAATTCACTTACTCCCATGAGGCGACAAGAGTTATGGAAACGGAGTAACCCACATCAGCATCGACTTGTATCTATAGCTGGAGGTGCCCGAATAGCTAAACACACTGTCAGCAACTCCTAGTTATTTCTACTTGAAATGTTACAAATATCTCTTGTCCTCAGTAAGTCTGACTACTCTCCCAATTTTTGCGTAAGACCCAAGCAGTGGCATGTATACGATTTTATCATATTTATCAGTCACATTTAATATATGGGCAGTTAGTTGGCAGTTCGGGTTAAACTGTCGATATGCATGATCGGATTTCATTCCCAGGCCCTTCTCTCCAAGGGCGGTTTGAGATATGGGAACAACCATTTACCTTGTTTAAATTGTTCATGAAAAATAGTGTTGGGCAAAATGACTGATGGCTTAGGACATGGTTTTGTTAAACACGAGCTGAACTCCGTTTGAATAACTGGCCCAAAACGTTTCGTAATTTGAACTAAATCTGTAATCACCTGCAGTCAGTATACTGCGTTTTTGAACAGATAAGGTGGCCAGCGCAGAGTCCTGTTTCTTGTTGTTGATTACCATAATATTTTGAATTCTGCTGTGAAATTGGTGCCATTAGATTCTGCAAGTGGCCGTCTGCTCTGATTTAGTCTGCTGAACTATTTTACGCATACTGAGATGCCAACCTCTGGAAATTTAAAATCTGGAGACACTCTCTTCTTCATTACCCCCACCCTGAATATGAACAACTATCCCCTCCCCCCATACTCTTATATCTTGCACACAAGCTGAAGATGCCAGAGTGTGATTTGTGCCAGAAGGAAAAACCTAGCCCATTTTATATCTCAGGTGTTTCTTTGGAAACCCAAGCAGTAAAGTATTCTAGTACATATGATATAAAATCACGCCATCTTGCGTAAGTAGTTGGCCAGGATTATCTTTTCTACCCACATATGGCATTGATGCTGGGAAATGCACCCAGGCCACATAAGTGGGAGTGTTCCCACCACTGCGCTACCCTTGCTCCCCAACACAATAAGGGATAAAACTCTGATAATCTGTTCTTATTGTCCTTCAGGTCAAATTCTGTTAATGGTTTTGTATCCACATCCAACACCCTAGAACAGGTATGTTGATTGTGAAACACAAAATGGCGACCACTTATATTTTGTTCATCTTAAGGTCTGTCTTTTCACAAAACCCAACATCAAGAGTTAACGCCATCAAAGTTATTGACTTGTTAGCCTTGTTTCCTCAAACAATTCTGTAGTAAAGCTTGGTAGTCAATTATTTAGTATTTGCAGTCTAGCAATGACCATATCATTGTGCAATCCGAGAGGTTTTAATACAATTATTAATCCTTTGCTTGTGAATGGGAATGGCACCTTGATTTTTAGGCACTTAACATGACTGTAGCTTTTCAGCCACTATGTTTTCAAGGTGCTGCTTTTCAACTTGTCATTTTAATTGGTGGAGAGCTTACAGTGTAATTAGCAATTGCCAAAACATCTTAGTAGCAAGTGAATTGTCTATGAAAATATTTAGACCAACTTGATCTGTTGTTCATGGCTTCATTTGTTGTTTTTTTTCAGGGGGAGTGGATTGAAGCAGTCATTATGGAATATTCTGCTCAGCTGTGGAAAAGGCAAATAGAGGAGTCAAATACAGAAAAAGGTACACCATAAATACAAGACTGTGCTCTAAGAAAAATTGGAGGAAGCCCAGTGTTGTGAACCTGTGAAATCTAGGGTGCCCAGCATATGATTTGTATGAAAAAAGATTAATATTCCCTGGTTGCCAAAGAGCAATAGTAGGGTGCCAGGAGGGGCCACCAGGTGCTGCTACAGCACAGCCCTGAAATGCTTGATTTAGTGTGTGTGGTGCTTATTTAATTTTTTGAGGCAAGAGAGGGCTGCTACTTGTTTATTTAAAGGTTGCACCACAGGCAGCCCAAGCTTATGTTACAAGGGTGGAATATATGTGAGTCCCTGTTCACAGTATGACAAAGAATAGTTTTTAGTTTGGCGCTTGCCAAGAATTTTAAAATTTTGTAGTCAACAATTTTTTGTTTTTGTAACTTTGTTCGCACTTGAGGCACACAAAAGTTTTTGATTTTCAAAAACGTCAATAAAGGAACTACATTCTACCCTTGCAACGTGTTCTTGGGACACCTGTGGCTGCACTTATTGAAAGGTAGAGGAATGGTGCTTATATTTTTTATGATTTGATGTTAGACTTCAGTCCCTATTTGCCTTTTGTTTTCAAATGCACAAACAAAAACTGTTGCGTTAGATAAGCAAAATATTGAACAGGACTTGGAAGCCTTAACTGAAAGGCTGGAGCTTATATGGGGTTCAGGCTTCCCCTGGATTAGTTTAAGTAGACATTAGATTGAGGGCTGTCAACTCCCCACATCTTCAAATATTGAGAATTGATATGATTCAGTTTATTGGCCTTACCTCCCATGAGTCTCCTGTATGTCAGTGGTAGAGCATCTGGACTAGTAGCCAGAAGGTCACAGATTTGACCCTTGTTAGGAGTATTCAGATTGAAACTGCCTGCATCATTGACTGAAAAACAATGTTTTTAGCTTTTTTTTTTCAAATTAAATTTGGAAATACTTCCGTTGACTTTTGAGTTTTGGCCACTTTTTGGAGTGAAAAAATCCAAGGATGTTGTTGTTGTTGCTGTTTTATGTTGTTGTTATAACTATTATTATTACAGACTGAAACATTGGATAATGTAATTCTAGAGCTCTGATTGGCTTAGCCATAGTATGTGAGCCATTATACCATGCTCTCCAAATGTGGTAACTGTACAAGACTGCTCAAAATTAAAAACAAGCTGAAAATCGGTTGTTTTTACAAATTAAGGCAGGAAGAATTCTCAATTTGTTGTGGGTTTTTTTAATAAAACAGTTATTCCACTCGTGCTTGTTGGATATGAGATGGTTATAGCCAACTCGGCCCTACCCTCCTAGTTTGCTATCTAGCATCTCATATCCAATGTGCACTCGTGGAATATTTGTCAATTATTACAATGTTCATACACTTTAGGCCAGAACTATGTAAACAATGCAGACATGAAGCAGATGCATGTACTGTATGCATCAGCAACAGGGGAGTACACCCCATACATGACCTTCTGGTTACTAATCATGTTACGATAGCACTACCAAAGAGGTTTCATTTAATTGGTCACACAATGAATAGGATTTCCTCCTCCATGATCATTCACTCTAAGGTTTAAAGGGTTGTAAAATAGGCGACTGTGAAAAATACCATAATATTATCTTATTGCCGTTTGGGGAATACTCCATGTAAACCTAACATTCAACATTTTTAACGGATTTTTCCCAAAAAAAGGTCACGTAGAATTTTCGGGAGCCTTTTTTCTGGCTGGAATTTTCGAAAAGTTCAGTTTTGATCCCTATAATTTTCGGATCACTAGACTTTCAGCTAGGAAATCCGAACAGATGAAAAATTTTTAGGGGATAAAAATATGCCTATATCTATCGTTTAAATACTAAAATACGTTTAACAATGTTATGTTTAAGTGGTTTTGAACTATATTCTCATTGGGTGCCCCTGTTTGCATAAACACGAATGTCGTGCAATGACAGATTTCCAATACACTATAGCAATCTATCTTACATACAATGGCACAATAGAATTCAGAGTACATGTAGGATCCTTGCAATAGAGCATGTAGCTTTATGTTGTTACCAAACTCCTGAAAAATATTAAAAGACAAGATAATGATCTTATCTGTGTTTCGGCCATCACTGAACGTTAGCACAACTGCATTTGCATTTTACTCTGATTCTGAAAATTTTTGACAATCTAATGCACTGCATGTGCAAATCATCAGTTTACATGAAGCAATACCCAAACAGCAATTTAGGAGGTCATTGTTATGATAATGGTATTTTCCACAATGGCCTATATCCAAGATCTTTATTAGATTAAGTTTTGACAGTGCAATGAAAGTCATGTCGGATAATCTGGGGCTAGTGGATTTTGCTTTAGCCAGGGGAAGTGAATTCTGTACTGTACATGTGTGATAGCAAGTGAAGTTTCTTGGGGGTATTCAAAATACTGATCAATGGTGTAATCAATGGTGCTCATCAAACATTTTGATTTGAGCTAGGTAAAATGACTCTTTGGCTAGTACATGCTAAACTGTAGTTACAGCTTGTGTAAAGGACATTCTTTAATCTGTAAAGCTGATTTTCTTTACACCTTCTTTAATGTTCAGTTCTGTTGATATTGAGGTTTTAGTTTTCTTTAGTTTATCTATCAGGCATTCCAAATACTTGCTTTTTGTTTTTTATTCGTTGTAATTGGAAATACATATTTTTATATTGTATGGAAAAATCCGTTACAGTCCAACATAAGGAATCATATTGAGATTAAAACAAAAATTTGGTTTTAGGAAAAGAGATGTACATTTGGGAAGAGAGGATGATATCATTTTTTGAAGCTGTGGTTGATGTGCAGTGCTGGACATTATGGACAGTCTTCTCTTGGTAAGTTTTAACAAAGTCATACCAAAAATGTTTTTGCAGGTAAATAAGGAATGGTTAACTCCGTTGTTATATGAACGCCATGAAATGGAGCTTGGACTTTATCTTGTTGGCAATTGAAGACACCCTCCAAGGGGTGGAAGCGACAGGTGACGTGGCCCCAAAAACAGTGACAATGTACTTTTTAAGTGTTTTTGAAAGTGACATCTGTTTCTTCTATAATATTTTGGCTGTTTTGGCAGCAAATTAACAATCCCTCTCCTGTATTTTCTGTTTTTGTCTTTGACTTGTTTTCTAATGTTGGTTTTATTGGAAAACGGTCCCTCCAATTAATAGCAACTAATTTTTTCCAGGAATTATATCTTCCATAAATTCCAAATTTGAGTAACATTTTTCCTTACCTACAAGGCAACCGACGGTCTCAGGAATGGCAGACGAAGCAGCAGCAACCAAACCCCCCTTCCTCACCCCCCTTGCAGTGTTCTCCTTATCAGTCAATAACCAGTAAAATTTACCGCTTTAATCAATATTTCTTATCACCTGTAACTGCTTGATGGTTTACTAAAATTAATTGGTACCTTAACAAAGCAAAGGCAGGCTGTCAATTTATTTTCCTCGGGCTTTCTTCCTAGTTCCTTTGACCTCGATGTGTGCATTTGTCTGCTATTGTCCACATTGTTCATACGATCTTGAAAAGGTCTTGAAAAGTCCTTGAACACAGTTAAGTCCCTTGATTTTTTTTATTAGGTCCTGAAAAATACTTGAAATTCATTATGTCGTTTACACCACATGTTTTCTTGAAAACCATGATTGTCCTTGAACAGTCCTTCATTAGTCCTCCAGTTGTAATTATTTTGTTTGCCTGAAGTTGTTCGAGCCATGTGTTTGACAAAGACAATAAGAGCAGCAGTCCATGCTCTCATTTTTGTCCATGCAAATCAAGTAAACACAGAAAACAGTACCATACAAAAATCTTATGATTAGAGGTTTTAGATGTCAAAAAAGCCTTCATCAACACAAAAGTTTTGATAATCAAGACTGTAAACAATTGTAGACAAATTTGCAGCGATCCGAAGCAGAGGGACAGTAAAATAATTGAAATGAGATGTTTAAACTGTTCGACTGTTCAACTTTTAATTAATTATCACAAATGTTACAGAAAGCAATATCCACTGCCCGCAGTTAGCAGGTTAGCTAGTCGAGGCGAGCAGTGGTTACACATATGTAATACATACGCAGATAGTTCACAAGAAAGACTAGAGAAAAAGAGTAGTTAAATAAATAAACAAATAAATAAAAATAAATTCAATTTAATTAAGTTTACGATCATGGACATTGCAAATATAAAAAGCCGAGTTTTCAGGAAATTTTTGTTATTAAGTCGGGTAGATCAATATAATCATTTTCTTCTGAAAGTATTCGGAGTAAAGTGTTATGGACATTGATTTTAAAGTTATTTTGGGACATTTGACACATTTCACACGGTAAACTATTCCAGATTTTTACACCATATCTTGAAAAAGACTTAGTTTGTTTGTCTAACCTTGAGTGTTTAACATAATAGTCACCTCTTGAAGATGATCTTGTATTATATGAATGAATATTAGATTGGGAAGCAAATAAGTTAGATATGTTAGTAGGTGTTAAGCTGTTAGATATATCATACATTAGAATAGCAACGGATTTAAAGTATAGTAGATCTAAGGGAAGAAAGCTAGAGGAGACAAAATAAGGTACTGCATGAGAATTGTAGTCACCAAAGAACATGAGGCAGAGGGTGCGTTTTTGAAGAATAAGAATTTTGTTTTTGTAAGTTTTAGCAGCTTGGCCCCGAGCGACTATGCCATAAATTGTTGTGTAAAGATACATTGGCCGACTTGCTTATTGAAGGTCTTAAAATGAAGGAATGACGTTTCAGAAAAGTTAGCTCCTAAAACCGTCCCAGCGTGGTTGGAGAGGTGTCCCTGAACCCTCCCCCACCCCCAGGAGAGTGCACCTCTGCTGCATATTTTTGCCCTACTTGTCAGGAATGGTCCCTTACCTGCTGAGCTAAAATGTAGGGAAAACACTGCTTTGAAAAGCCCTCATTGACTGTACTTTCAGTTATATTACTTTGTTTGCTTTATTC